CACATGGGCAGAATTACATTCTGGATAAACGTGATCCTTAGTCACAGCCTCTGTGAGCTCCTTAAGGATGGAGGCTGGGTATTTCACACCTGTGTTGCACCTAGCCTGGCCTAGAGTGACTACTCAGTAATGTCAGTTGTTATTATTGTAGATTTTCCCCACCAGGGGATAAAGGGTAGACTGGTGGGAGGGGATATCTGACTCGCCCTAACAGAGGAAGGCCTCAATGCATCCTTGATAAATCTGGAACTCTGGAGAGTTCATTTCACCCTATTCCAGAGTAGTCTAGAGCCAGAGACCTTGGTACAGTGGCTAGCTGGCAGGGGACCTTCCTTGGTTGGCCCCTCACCCTGCCCTGGCATTTTTCCAGCTGGTCTACAACCTTGGGACTCCCGTGTAGCTTCTGCACATCCCCTGGGGCAGAGTTTTCCGTGATTTACTATCTTCTTTCTTTTGTCATCTGAGTGCCTCAAACCTCCATGGAGACCTGATCCCATGGGTCACCCGTAGGGTGTTAGAGGCACATATGTGGGTATGAGTGACAACTGCTGTTTCTTCTCTCTCTAGTTCAGTGGATGGTGGGTCTCTGCCCTGTCCCTTTGGTTCAGAGATGCTGTGACCCTTGAATTTGGGGTCCCTGCTCCACAATGAGATCCCAGTTCTGAGAATGTTGGGCCTTTGTGTTCCACTCAGGGAAGAGACGAAGCGGTAGCAGGGGCAGGTGAGTGGCTCTTCTGGAGACCCCTGACCACATGGATATGGACTATTTAGCTTTCGGTTTACACCGAAGATAGATGCTAATAGGCACGTATCCAGAGTATGCAGAAGATGGTGTCTGGAAAGGATGTCATCCACCAAAGAGACACCAAATCTAGAGAAAAGATTCTTGACTTCAGTATCACTCAATCCTTTTTTCACAGTTTTCCCAATTTATCTCGTTTTTTTTTCTTTCAAAAGCTCTATTACAGAGTCATTGTGGTTTTAAATAACAGCCTATTTTTGAAGTAAGGAAACGGGGCCCACAGAATCCAACTGATTTGCCTAAGCTCACATAGAGTGGGGTGCCAAAGGAGGTTTGGGGGTTTTAGTTCCTTTTCATCTCTGTCTGCTTCCGCAAGCCACCCCAAATCAACCTATAATCTAAACAAAATCAATATGCTTGTTATGCAACTGTGACTTCAAGGTCATCCCCAGGGCCCGGCTGAGATTGCCATCCCCCTAGGCTTTCCCTTAATTGAACTTCTGCAGTAATCACACACACCGTAAGCAACGGAGGCAAGACCATAAGAAGGTCTTCTCAGCGTGTACCTTCAACATTTCAAAGAGCCTGCATATCCACTATCTCACTGGAAGAGTAGGCATTATTCCTATTTGGAGATTAGGAGCCAGAAGCTCAGGAAGTTTGATTCCCACCTTGGTTCTTTTCTGCTGTAGTGGGCTCTCCAGCTTGC